AATTAGGCAACTGGACATAAACATTGCCATGTGTGAGTGTTTTTTTATTTTTAACCAGAAAATAAACAGCAATTTTAACGGTGTTCCAATAAGAATTCATTGGTCAAATTTTCACAGAATGTTCTTTAGATAAAAATCTATATAAAAAACGAAAAAAACTATTTTTGATTGAAATTCACAAATAAACTGCATCTCTACCTTAATTAAAGTGCAATTCTCCATTGTATTGCATTGTAATTGAGTTTAATTAAACTCCAATTAAAACGCAACCCTATATAGGAACGCGTTTTAATCTAGTTCATATTGCAACTATATTAAAAGTTAATTCAATGGTGGGTCCACAATTCATGGGACACCTGTATGTGTGTGTGTGTGTGTGTGTGTGTGTGTAAATACATGCTTGTTTATTGCATAAAGAAAGCAACAACTACTACTACCACCATTATTAATTCCTTCACTTTTAATTCACGTTTTCTTGCTAATAAAAAATACACGACAACAATTGCATTAAACAGTACTAAAAAGTTGTTAAAAGGTAACATTCAGTTAATTAAAAAAAAAGGAATTGCTCTTTATTTGATTTTAATGCAAAGTTCTCAAAAAGGCAATCGATGTAAATGGATTGTAATATATAAATATTAAAACTAGAAAACCTGGTTAGATATTGTCAAAATAAGTGAAACAATTGTAATAGTATCTCGATCTAATTAACATTCATTTTGAAGCAACTTACAGTAGGTATATTCGAGTTGAATTCAATAACACTTGATAGACCTACATACCAATAATAAATGAAGTAAGGGATAAGCCAATCACACAAAGTTCTCCACTGGTTAATCAGCCACTCACAGAAGATATACAAATTAGACCTAGGCAAGTGGAATGTCAATTAGTCAAATTTTAGCACTTTCAGTTAGGAAATTAACATTCAAATACACTTGATTGTTCACTAGGTTATACAGTTTATTGACTGAACAAATGGGAGGATTGATAAAGATGGCTTGTTTAGTGATATCGAATACCTCAATAAAATTTTACTAAGACAATATTGCCAGATCTTACTCACCAATGAGAATAAAACTGATGTATTTTTTTTTTATCTCACTGTGCCTTATTAGCAAGAAGAAAAGTATCGCACATACCAGTTATATTATCAACCCTCACAATTATCAATATTGTAATTGAGGCATTATGGGTAAAATAAATAGCCTTATAAAAAGAAAAAAAATACAACAAGAAACACTATGTTAGAAAGCGTTCCTGAGGCTAAACATTAGTATAAATATATAAAAAAATAGGGTTGTTAATTCATAGATCACCAATACAATTTTTTTTAACAATTAAAAAAAATAAGCCGAATTAATTGTACAAGTCTCAAGATAAATACATAAAAAATACTGTGAATAATGAATAATTCAAAGAAAGCAAGTCCCTGAAAAATTTCTTCTGAAAGTTCAGTTAAAATGTTTGATAGTTCTAAAACCACAAATCCAGGTTCTAAGTTATAAATACAAGGGATGAGGGTCAGACAGCAACTACTAGGTTGACCAGCCAGGATTAGGTTTCAGTGGTAATCTTCAGATCCAACAAATCGATCCTAATTACCATTTAAAATCTGAAATACCAAAGTTTCCATATTACTTAATATTTGACTGGCTTGTACAATACAGTATGTTTGTGACAAAATATCAATATTAGACCTTGCTAGAGTGATACATGTGTGGTTGTGTGGGAACAAGAAACCAGAGGTGACAGCACAAGATACTCAAATTTACTACAAGTTAATTTTATTTTTAAATTATTATTTGGTAAAAGTTAAGAGGCAATAATGTGATAGACATTGATCCAATTTTTTTGCACTAACAGGCAAACAGTTTCTCTTCATTCAAGGAATCTATTATAAATTATAACCTGGAAATATTATGCAAATAACTTAATATGCACAGTGTATGTATTTAGCATCAATCCATTTGATTAGACAATTGATAGCATGACAATTCGAAAATAATGAGATATTCAAATACCAAATTTCAATCCATTTGATTTGCTCTTGTACAGGATAAACAAGGTGAAATAGATAAATTAATAAGCATCATACACTCGCATATAACAGTGAGTATGTACATTTATGCGAAATTGTGAACAAATTTGGCACTAATGCAGCAATTTTATCAAGCACACCTTGAATAAGGTGCACTTGCATACAGAATGTTGGCAATATTGCCTGGCAGCCATTTATTTTTGTTCATTCCTCAATAATATATTGCCTGATTCAGTTGAAAGTTTGCACATAATTACTATACCCATAGGCAATAGCACAGGTTGCATATTTTGTGTTAATTTGGTAACTTGACTGATCGATTTGATTAAAATCCCTAAAACCACAGTCTGTACGTGTAAACAATTATAATAATAGCGACAAAGGAATACCTACATTTAGATATGTTCCCAATCAGCCGAGTAACCTTGTTCTGTATTAACCGCGTCAGAATAAAATCTGACTGTCACTTCATTATCACCCGCAGATGACTCCCAGATTAAAGGTAGAAAATATTGCTTACAATAAAGGGCGGTGTTTCCAGATGGAGAAGATTCAAACTGAAACGAAGAAAATGTAGTTAAAAAAAAAAGACTTGACACAATCCTAAAAGACGAGAGTAATCAAACCACTATAAACTTTAAGATTCTAAATGATTTATGACATGTAGACAGCTGTACAAAGGATGATTGCAACAAGTCGAGCACGTCATAGATATGGCTCTAAAACAGCATTCTTCTTAACACAAATGCCACCAGTCGGCCATTTGTAATTTGATTTGTAAAATGAAATTGATCTACAACCTTCTTCCACATTCGGAAGAATAGTATGAACAAACTAACAATCATGATTTTTTTTTTTTAACAAATTTCCTGCTCAAGCTGTTTTCCCCCATTCAAAAATATGGAGTCTTTCAGCAGGCAATATGTCAAACTGAGGTTATTTTCATGTAGAAATTATCTACTAATATGTTCTCGAGCATTTAGTCATGCATCTTCATGTGTAAATTGTAAAACAAGACTTTTCGAAACACTTAACAAAACGTTCAAATTTGTTCAAGTGCCACTGCACATATATTCATAATTTGTTCACATTTTAGGGAATTAGATTTGAAACAAATCTTGTTACTTAACAGTAAACTACACTAAAATGAGTGCACATTACTAAATGTAAAATTATGTATAATATAGTTGTAAAATTTGATTGCAATCAGTCAAGG